GCTGGGATTCATTTTAACTAAAGTAACACCCATCAGTTTAAATTCGGTCACAAAATTTGATTTAACATTATTGAATATCCTTTGGCGTGTTTAGGGCAAAAAATCATACACTTTATTTTCAACACATTCCGGTTCTGCTTTTCCCACTCACACGCCAATTCTACCTCTTGTTCTAGGATATTATTAACCTGGGACAAAACTAATTATCCAGTTCCGCAACAATACATTTGAAGGATATGAATCAGTCATAATGTTATGTTTTCAAAGATTGGATGAAAAGCCCAGCCAGTTATAATCACAGAAATATTACAAAAAATGACAAAGAGAGCAATCAAAGGGTCACCTTACCGAGATTACAAAAAAGGAAGAACCTTTCTGCTACAGTTGTTTGAATGCCTCCACCTTTGGCTTTACTCAACAAAAAGCTGTAAATATGCAAAGTAGATTAATTAGTTTTCCCAAGGTCACCTGTGCAGAGAAGTGCTCTGCGTGTCAATAAATCAGCCGTATCTCAGCAGCGACGTAACCGCGAGAGTTGCTGCAGAGGTTTTATTGATATTTTCCCAGGAGTTAACGAGGCTTTGTGTGGGGCTTCATTTGGCCAAAATGTATTTGCCTTTAATCAACGGCCTTGAAAACTCACAAGGGTCTGAGTTGTTAGAGCATCTTAGTTCTGGTGGCTTTAACCGAAGAGTGCGCGTCGTGCAGCTCAAAGACCACAGCTCATTTGAATCCAGTCCTTAACCCTCCTGCCAAACCAACAAAGTCAGCATTCTGAAACAAGCCGAGGCTTATTAGGTCTAATCCCTGGCAGCTTTCTGTGTTTGTCTCATCAAATAGGATTAGACTAACACCTGGATTTTAGTTTGCCAATATACAATATTACGTTTTAACTTTTGAATAGTGGTAAATTGCAACTTCCTGTTATGCAAGGGATATTTCCCTTTGCATCCTTTGAATAAGGACTGAGCTTTTTCATTCTTGTCTTTGAATCTATGACATGGTGACAGAAATAGGAAATAGGATCATCATGTTATTCACAATCCACAAACACTGATCCATGAATTTGATTAAAAATGCACATCTTGTGTATAATCTGTAAACAAGTTTGTATATATACAGTACGTTTTTCTAATTATCTATGTTGGTCACTCAGAAGAGAAATGAAGGTCAAATATATCCAAGTAACTAAAATAATGAAACATATGTACAATATGGAGGTGTGTGCAATACTAGACACTTGGAGCTTTTTTAAATTCAGTTTTCCAGATTTGGGACCAAGTTTCTATTTTGAGTCATAAAAAGTCTTAACTCCTTCTCCTTAAGTCTGGAGTCCACTGCAGAGTAAAAACACGTGCATATTCCCAGTTATTATAGGTCTAAAGTCAAAAAGTTCAACTCCTGAGCCAGGTCAAGACTTTAACTTTTAATTTCAAGTTTCTAGCTAATATTGTGATTAGCATGTCATCTTGTTACAGAGTAAAAGCAAATTATTTTCAGATCCTCTTTAGTTATTCTTAAATGGTGTATTTATCTCTATGTATAAGCAGCAACATTTGTTGGTATGAGGACAAGCAGTGATTTAAGAAATGTAATAAGATATGTAATCAAAATTATTATTTTTTTATGTTTATGTCCTATTTATTGTACCTTATCTGTCTGTAATTAATGACAATATTCATCAAGTAATAGATATGACGTGACATTGCTTAAGGGTTGTTGCTTTTTTTCAATCATTTTGTCGACCCAAACAATTTTAACTCGTAACTCATTCCTGGTTAATCACCTGTAAATTCATGTAAACCATTAAAATGATAACAGGTTTCTTTTTTCAAGAACTAATCCTTGGGAAAAATTTAGAACATCTTCATGCTTCTCTTCTGTAACCTGACAGCTTGACTGGTTAGACGCAAAGATTCCAGATGAGGCCTTTGCATGGTGACTTTAAAGAAAAAATCTGGTCGTATTCAGAATTATAATTTCTGAAAGTACTTTAAATATAAAATTATTACATACTGTTCAATGAATGATAATTGTTTCAATTAAGAGTCATTTTCATTTGACTGCTCTTTACTGGAGGCATCCATGTTTGTCAAAGAACACTACTGCCACCTACTGGTTAGTGACATTGTCACGGTGCGGTATCGGCTGTTGATCAAGTCCCAGTGCTGTATCT